ACAAAACACCATACATGAGATGATAACGCTTAATATACCAGTTCTTGGGATAAGCGAAATGCGGTGGTCAGGGACTGGTAAATGTAACATAGACGACCACGGTATTTTCAATTGCAGAGAAGAAGGCACTAACCACCGGAATGGCGTCGCATTTATTGTACATAAAGAAATCTCTTCCTGTATTAAATCTGTTACATTTCTGACAGAGTCGTCGTGATGCAATTAAACTCAAAACCAGTAGATATAAATCTGGTCCAAGTTTATGCGCCCACAGCCAGCAGTAGTTATGATGACATAGAGAATTTTTATGATGGTATAAAGAAGGTAATGAGTCAGCTGAAAAACAAAGACTTTACTATAATAATGGAGGAACTTCAATGACAAAGTAGGAAAAGGTAGACAAGGAAACATTGTAGGGAATTTTGGACTAGGACAACGTAATGACAGAGGAGACCGTTTTGTAGAATTCTGCGTAGAGAACAATCTTTGTGTGACAAATACATTTTTCAAACTACCCAAGCGTCGTTTATATACTTGGAAGTCGACAGCAGATACCAAAGAAAATATCATAAGTAATCCTCAGATCATAACTTATTATTCAGTGACATAAAACTCAAACTTAAAATAGTAAAACGCCAACAACCGACTTACCGAATAAACACTGACTGTATTCAAAATATTAGTCATGAAATTACACAAGAGATAAAAAGAAGTTCAAAAAATTGAAAGAAACACATAAAGTTCAGGACCACTGGAATCATGTCAAAAGCAAAATGCAAGAAACAACTAAAAAGTATAAAACTATTAATAAACGTAAACAACAATGGATGGCTGATGAAATATTGGGACTAATGGAAAGCAGGCGAAAACACAAAAATAAAAAAACTGAAGAATACAATAAAATTCATAAAGACATCAGACGGAGAATCCGGGATGCAAAAGAAAAATGGTACAGCAACAAGTGTCTTGAAATATAAAAACTGCAGAAAAAAATGACACGTTTAATGTACAAAAAGGTGAAAGAAATAACTGGAACATATAGATCAACTGCAAGTAGTTTACTTGATAAACAAAGAAATATTATAGTCAATGAACAAGACAGATCAGAGATGTGGAAAGAATATATTAAGGAGCTGTTTGATGACGATAGCACAGACATTCAAATCAAAAATATATCGACTGCTCCAAACATAATACTCGATGAAATGGAAAGAGCTATCAAAGAATAGGAAAGCAACCGGTCCAGATGAAATTCCAAGCGAAATAATCAAACTGCTCGACGATAAGGGCAAACATTCTCAATAAAATATACAAAACAGGACATATACCAACAGACTGGCTACTGTCAACATTTGTAATTATCATCATCAATCAGCCAATCGCGTCCACTGCTGGACATAGGCCTCCCTCAGTTCTTTCCAGTGTTCTCTACACTGGGCCGCTTGTAGCCAGTTTCCCGCTACAACGTTTTATATCATCGGTCCATCTAGTCGGTGGTCGTCCTCGGCTTCTTTTATAGTTTTTGGGCCTTCATTCCATAATACGTCTTGTCCACCGTCCATCTTGTGCTCTGGGTAAGTGCCTTGCCCAGTTCCACTTAAGCGACGTGGTTCTTTCGATGACGTCTTGAACTCCTGATCTTTGCCTGATTTGTTGGTTTGTTATGTGGTCTCGAAGGCTCACGTTCAGCATTGCACGTGCCATGGCTCGTTGCGTAACTCTGAGTTTATTCGCAGATTTTTGCGTGAGTGTTAAAGTCTCCGCTCCATAAGTTTGTACAGGTAAAACACATTGGTCATAAACCTTTCGCTTGAAACACATGGGAATTGAACATTTGTAATGATACCAAAAAAAATAAATGCCAAACAGTGTAGCGATTATCGCACTATCAGTCTGATGAATCATGTACTGAAAATTTTTCTAAGAATACTGCACTCGAGAATTTACGACAAAATAGAAGTACAACTAAGTGAAACACAATTTGGTTTCAGTAACAACCTTGAAACCAGAGAGGCACTCTTCAGTTTGCAGGTCATGGTTCAAAGATATAGGGATATAGAACAATCAGTATATATGTGTTTTATCGACTTCGAAAAGGCCTTTGACTGGGTAAACCATGACAAATCATAGGTGTCTTGCAATAGGTGGGAATTGATGACAGATACTTCTGTATTATCAAAAATTTGTATTGGCATCAATGTGCAAACATACGAGCTGGACACAACACGATGGAAGCAGTGGAAATACGACGTGGAGTGAGGCAAGGATGTATTCTATCGCCTCTACTTTTTAACATCTACTCCGAATTTATTTTCAAAGAAGTCTTAGTTGAAGATACAGGTATTAAAATCAACGGAATTAATGTCAACAATCTTAGATATACTGTAGACGACACGGTACTTATTGCCTTCAATGAAGAAGACCTGCAACGACTTATAAACAGGGTAACCGAAGCATGTGATATATATGGGCTAAAACTTAATACTTCTAAGACAAAACTTATGGTTGTCAGCAAAACGGAGTTACAACCAACGAACATCAGAGAGTATGGAATAGAGTTAGAAAGAGTCCATAATATTACCTACTTGGGTGCAAACGTTAGCGATAACTGGGATATAAATAAAGAAATAAGAATACGCATTGAAAAAGCCAGAGCCGCCTTCTATAAATTAAAGAAAATTCTAATTAATAGAGATAATACGTTAAACCTTAAAATCAGATTAATACGCTGCTACATATTCTCCACATCGCTGTATGGTATGGAGAGCTGAACCCTTACAGAGACATAAATGAAAAAAATTATAGGCCTTTGAGATGTGGATCTATCGGCGAATATTGCGGATAAGTTGGGTTGATCGAATAAAAAATGAAATAGTTTTACATCGAATGAAAAAGAGCACAGAAATAACAAAAACTATAAAAATTTGAAAGTTACAATATTTCGGTCATGTAATGAGACATCCAGAGAGGTATAACCTTCTACACCTCATAATACAGGATAAGATCGCCGGAAGGAGAGGCCCAGGCCGACGAAGAACATCCTGGCTCCGAAATCTCCGAGAATGGTATCAAGAGACCACCGCTAATTTACTTAGAGCCGCCGTAAACAAAGTTATTATTGCCAATATGATCGCCAACGTTCGGTAATCGGACAGGGTATTGGAAGAAGAAGTAGAATCTTCAAAGTCAGAGTCTGAGTTTTCATTGACCTGAGGTCGCACCTCAATGTGAGTCTGGTATCTCTCCTAATATAACAAGGTGCTTTGGCGTACGTGTTCCTGAATCATGAGGAAGATTACGAATAGCTGAACGGAGATTAAGTGTAAAATATAATGCTTTGATTTGGAGTTAAACCCTTTGACATCACAGGAGCAGAAGTAGCAGTCATCACAATGGTTCTTTTGCTCTCACCATACCATAGATACCTCACAACGTAAACTTTTCCTTTTAATCTAAATTAGTTTCAAGGGTCCTCCACACATATTTTGAAAAACTTTATAAGGAGCCTAAACTTTGTTTTCAAGTTTTAGTTCAAAATATGCAAAAAGATCTTTCTTTGGAAATATTGTGAAATTTAGTCGTTGCTTTAATACTTTATATTCACCTTAGATAAAACAGAAAGACAAGTGAATTTTTTGCACTTTTGCAAGGCCATGATATGAAAATAATAAGTAAAAAAAATTATAATAATTTACTTGATTGGCAAATCTATCTGAAACGAGACTGAGAACCAAAAGGCTCAGGATGCTATAAACCAGACACACAATTAAGATAAGTGTCAGTTGAGAAGTTACGAGAAGAATACATATCGTTAATAAAACAAATAATGGACTAATTAAACATCTAAGATCTAACATCACAAGAAAAACAAAATGCAAAATATAAAAAACCCTGATAAAATCAGGCCTTGTATATGGATCAGAGACATGGACACTGTCGAAAAGCAATGAGAACCTATTAGGTACATTTGAACGAAAAATCCTTAGACACATATATAAGGGGGTGAAAGAAAATGACATATGGCTCAGAAGATATAATTTTGAACTACATACAGCATGCAATGAACTCTAGGTCATAACATCCAAAATGTTGAACGGATGTTGGAGACTGAAACACAAAAACATATAATGAGAGCAAACACCAGTAAGGAGAGGGTCAAAGAACTTTGGACTTTAGATACATGGAACAAGTGGAACAAGATCTGAAAATACTTAAGATTACCAACTGGAAAAACAAAGTAAGGAACAGAACAGAATGGCGGAAAATCCTAGAACAAGCCAGTACCCATAAAGGGTTGTCAAGCTAGTGATGATGAAGACAATTAAGATAAGACAACTTGGTAAGTCACATTATTCAAACTCGAATAAATTGTTGAAAATAAACCTAGTTACTAATAAAACTGAGTAGGCAGAGTACATGTCAGCCACTGACGGGAACTTGGCATCTTACAAAGCCAATTCACGGATCGTGAATAAGAACAAGATATTTTAATAAAACCTCCGTGTCTGTGATAGAATTTACAGTTTGTACAGCCACAAAATACGATATTATGTGTGTTTTAGAACGCCAATTATATCTCATAGCTTTAACAAAGGAAAATGGGCTAAAGCTGCATTCATATTATGTGAAAAATTCTGGACATTTTCTATTATTTTCGTATTCAGTACATCAAGTTACATTAGAATTAGTCGAAATTATTTAAACAACTTTTTGCCGACTAAGTTTTATTAAAATGTAACAGAAAAAATTATTAAATCTTGCCAATCTAGTCAGGCTTTAATGAAAAATAGTTGATTATATTGGTAACTAAAACACACTGCATAAGTTAAATTAGGGCAAAGAAAATCTGCATAAAAAAATAAAATTCGAAAGAAGGAATGTGAATAAAATTGAAGTATGTCATTGTGAAAAAGAAAAATCAAAACAAATGGCGAGAGAGATAAAAAAATAGTAAAATTCTAGTAAAATGGTAAAATAGTCTAAATTTTATAATTACTTACTTTGTTTCTTTCTAAGCTTTCAATATCAAAATCAATATAGGACCTATTAAATCTTGGTGAAGCTGAAACATACGTATTCGAACCAGAACAGATTCTAGGATGGGATTTAAAAATTTTATTACAGGATAACGAATCAGTCTCTTTATTTTTGGCTTCTGTTGTATATGGCAACTGTATTCTCTTCTCCAGGTTATACTTTACATTCTCCAAGCGCTTCTTAAAGCTTAAATTATCCAACTCAGTCTCCTAAATCAAATATGTCAGTTATTGAAGAAAATATATGAAATTAACAATTAGCATAATTTTGTTCTCAATATTTTTTAAATTTTAACTTTATATAAATTTAATAATGATAACAAATTAATTTTATAGTTATAAAATTAATTTCTTATCATTATTAAAACTCCAGATAGAAAGTCGCTTTAAATGGTAATTTTTAATCAAGCAATTTACCTTTGACATTGGAGAAAAACTAATTATTCTCTATTATTTTACTTGTTATTTGTACTAAAAACCTGAAGAAAAATAGTAGTAAAAGTAGGAGTAGTAGTAGTAGGAGTAAAAAAACAAATTTTAGTAAAACGTACCAGATCATGTTCATTAAATAGGAATACAGTGTCATCAACTGAAAGTATTTGTGTTTACATTTTAGTGAGAAAAAGTGTGGGTCCTTCAAAGTTGATCAAATTAGTTTCCTACTACAATGTCAACATACACGTCTTATTTCACACTTAAAAAATTGGTATAGCTATATAGCGCCATCTATTTTCGATGAAAGAAAATAGACTAGACTGAGCTGCTTGTAAAATTCGCAAAGACAGAAATTTCAGAATTAAAAATTAGGACTAAAGTCAAAAGACTTAAGACAAAATTCCAAAAATAAAACAAAAAAAAAACGTTATAATGATTGACAAGGGAACATGTCTGACCCCGATCTACAAAATTACAAGATTGTCAAAAAAAGCTTAAGCAGAAGCATACAAAAATCAATACAATGAATTTAATAATTGATAGAATGAAAACAAAACATATAAAATATACAAACGTATAGCAAAAAAAAATTAAAAGAGGCTAATCAGATTAGATGTATCCGTGAAGAAAATAAGAAATTATAAAACCAGAATGTAGAAATCCGAAGATTTATTGATTGCCAAAACGAAACTTCTGCCTTCTATAAATTACAAAGCAAAACAGATATTGAAAAGAATGACACGAAGATTGCATTCCACAACATTTATATTCGTCTAAGCAAGAACCTTTGGTGAACTGGTTTCTTGTATTCATAAAGAGTAAATAAAGACAAAGAAAAAAATCAGTTAAGATTTGATTTCATGTATATGCCTATGTATATTCGCTTATACGTATTTCATCCTACCAGGATTAATCAGAACGGCAGGTACAGAAGCTCTAAAAGTAAAATCAAATATTTTCTGTCAAGAAAAGTAATATTTGAATACCTACAATAAAGACGCTACATCAACATCTGAGAATAAAACTAGAAAGTAGAAATCCCAAGATTTCTTGGTTGCCGAAACCAAACTTAAGATTTTGTCATTTCTAAATTGTTCATTCTAAAGATGTTAATGTCAAATGCAGTTTATTATGTAAAATTCTTAACAAACTTATAGTAGCAAACAGTAATATAAAAAAACACAAAAAACATGAGAAGAAGCGCCAAAGTTGGATAACTGCTGGACTGGTTAAATCCTGCATAGAATGACCAGCTTGGTCACCGGACCCCACACCATTAGATTTTTTTGGATCTCACACCACAATTGTTAAAGAATGTAGGGCAATTTTCTCCGATACATTTGAACGGGTACAAGAGTTTAACAATATAATGCATTACTATCGGGAAGTAGATGAAGCGCACTTTGAACACTTAATATAAGAACTGGTTCTTAAATCTTTAATAATTAAATGTATTATTTAAATTAAACCCAAACTATAGTAGTTTGATTGATTAGGTAAGTTCAATACCTTTCAAACAAGATATTACTTGTCATAAGGTCCCATTTAAATCTATCGGTCACATTGTTGGTTTGTAACGTTATCTCTGACTATTACGTCTATTATGTCACCCGTTATGACTAACCGAGAGGCCTACGTCCGTTTATTTTCTCCCTCCAAATTTTACTTTTATAAGTACAACCGTTCAAAAAATAAGATGGAGAGGGAACTTATGGCTAGCACTGTACATCCATGCCTACATACTAGTACTACTCGAGACGCCCCGATACGTACGAACATTTTTGTAAAAGTTACTTTAATTAACTTTAATAGATTACCTAGGGCTTGATAACAAGAAAAAAGTTTTCATAAAGTACAATCCTTTTGATACCGTTATTATTTGACTATCTTGTACATGAATTTTTCTCTGAGAGAAAATGAAAGCCGTATGTCTGTAATCTAGATCATAACAGAATGAGCTACACTTAGAAAATGATAATTAGAAGCAAGACAAAAATCATAAAGAACTCTATTCGTCTAAGTGTTGCAAAATTGGGATGACAGAGGCAGCTCACGAAATGAACAGCTTCCATGCATCATTCTATTTTGCACTTATATTATAGGGTAACAGATCTTGGTCAATATGCTATCTACTATAGACAACATGGATCAACAGTTCCATGCCGAATTTTATAGAGGGCATCCACACATTCAAGTGTGTGATCAATATCGAGTTATGGTAAGAAATAACCTAAACCTAGAATCCAGATGAAATATTATCAGAAGATATCAGTAACCATCAGGTAATAGCAAAGCAAGTGGATAACCAAAATCTCTAGCACATACCTGAATCTAACTCATAAATAATTCGAACTTTTAATTCACAGCAGGCTAACAACGTGTCACATGATGAACGGTTAAACGAGTGGGATAAATGGTCTTAACTGACCACCTCTACCAAAAATAAACTTGTATTAGAAGCTATGAGTGTGGTTAGAGATTGTGATCACTGAAGTCGTATTAACTTATATAATAGAAGCTCATATAACGAGTATTTGCACATGTTAATCTACAACTTATGAAAGACAACTGGTACGAATTATTGAATTAGACCACAGGAATATTAAAAAAAATACAGAATATATGCGAGGAATAACATTTAACTAAAATTTATTTCGGATGCAGGGCATATAAACAACGATAAATTTAACAGATAATTGTTAACGATGTTCCAAATGAGTCTAGTCGGTGCGATAAGTAACAGTATAATTATGACACTTTATTATTTTTTTTTTCAACTATTAGTGTTTATTGCATAGTAAATAAGTTATTGTTAATACTAACATAGTATCACATATATATATGTATATAGTATCACATGCAAGTATTAACAGTTCTTCAAAAATATTTAAAAACTAACCGAAATGTCCATTTTTATTTCGTTACTGCCGACGTTGTCGGCAGCTCATATAGCTTCGGACACGATTTAAGTAGGTATTATATTTCGGATGTGATTTCAGTATTGAAATTTTGTAATTTGAATCGATTTGTTAGTAAATTTTTAGTCATTTTGATGGTTAAAGGACAGTAAATTATATTTATGCTGTTAATGTTAAATTAGCAATTATTTGTTGTGCGATTTAAAACTATTTAAGTATATATTTTTATTTAACGACCCTATTTATACGTGATTGTGATTACTGTAACAGTAACCACGTATTTCAATAACAGATATTGAAACTAAAAATGTCATCCATTGATTCTGCTAATGAATTGGTTGAAAATACAAGGAGTCCTCCTCAAAAACGAAGTAAAAGAAGCCCTCTTAGCGTTAAAGTTAAAGAAATCATTTTAAATGTTTTTAAATGTGAAAGACAAGAAAATCCCGGATTAGTGGTTGAAGATATTGTAAAAAAAGTGGCCAATAAAGTTTGTGATAGAAGAGTGTTTACGGTGATTAAGGAATACAACACGAATCATCAATTCGCTGGACCAAAAGTATATCTGACCCGGAAAAAGAAATTGGACAAAATTGATGATTTTGACCAAAATGCCATTAGAAGACTGGTTCATAATTTTTTTTTATGAGCAACGAAATACCTACCGTTGATAAGGTTTTAAAGAAGGTGAACGATGACTCTGATATGCCAAATTTTTTGAAAACCACGTTTTACCGAATATTCAAAAAACTTTTTCAATATAAACGTAGGGGAAGAAACGCTCTTTTACTAGATAAAGTAACGCCACATTGTAATGTGGCGAAGAGAATATATTCAAAAGATAAGAGCTTATAGAGACGAGAAGCGGAAAATATATTATCTGGATGAGACATGGTTGAACGCTAGAACGCTGGCCATACAAAGTCTAAAATATGGGTAGACACTACAGTAAAAACATCAAGACAAGCTTGTTTGGATGGATTAATAACGGGATTAAAAAATCCTTCAGGTAATTTATTACATTCTACATATTTTAAATTTCAAAACTTAAAAACTTTTTTCTACGACCCTTTAATAATGTGCTTATTAATAACTAGTTTTGAATAAATAATAACACCTATTACCTACTTATCTTGGATAAAAAGAAATAAATTCTTACACGTGGTAATGTCTACATCTCCCTGCTTCGCTTAATGAATTTTATTATAGGAAGGTAGTATATACACGCACAACATGATTTAAGTAAGATTTGTACTTTTAATATAGTCAGACGAAAGGTTTATCCCGAAAGAGTCGATAAGCAAAATGGCGATTAAGGCCATGAGTAAAAATTTTATGTAAATTATATCCCTCTCTAAAATTTACCATAAGAGAAAACCAAATTAACTTTATGTTAAGTTTATTAACTTAAGATTAAATTGATACCATGAGTAACACAGCTACATTACGCATGTCTTAATATTAAAAATTGTTTTAAGGTATTTAACACGTGCGAATGTGCCGTAGTAATACTCATATATTATTATTGTGGACTAAAATAGATATAGAAAACCGTCAGCGAAAGTATTATACACTTCTCACAAAGTCCCAGATACATCATCCTGACAGTACAGTAAAAAAAACAACATTACCGTGGTATTAAGGAGAAAGAAAAAATTATGGATACCGGTGAGTAATTAGAAAACAATTGTAACTTTAGATCTTATTTTCAGAACTAAGCGATCCACTATACTGCTATTTGACTCAACCAGAACCAAGTCTGTAATATAGCGTCGACCTATTGGTTGGCATAGGAGATTTTTTCCAAAACAAAGGGTTTATTACTTGCCATCTAGGATCAGGTAATTCGAAAAAAAAATTATCTGAAATAAATAATCAAAGATCATCCTCTGTAAAACGCAAATACCGATATGGATGTTAAGTTCAAGAAACCATACGACATATTACCGAAGGTTACCAGGCATATGTCTAAATTGCTTATAAAAGACGGCATAACTCAGTAACGAGACACTTCTTTAAGAACTAGCCAACAACTTGGGATTTGTCCAAACCAACCATCTGCCTTATTATCCATATGTCCCTGACAGTATGTTTAAAAACGAAAAGCTGCACTGAGACCGTACAGCGTTTCATAACCTTAATAGAAGATCTGGATAAAAAGTATGATAGTTTTAATTTACACAAAAAAAAATAAAAAAACTGGCAGGTCCTAGAAAAAGCACAACAACGAATACCCTTAAAAACCATAAAGAAGATATTATTACTGATATAAAGAAAAGATTGTATCACTGGACCAATTACATTCCAAAGCTATCTAATGACGAAAAAGAAGAATTATCACTAGAAACCGCAGAGGATACCGGACCACCAATATAACGGAAAGAAGTCATCTATGCTATTAAAAACACAAAACAGGACAAAGCTACCGGACCAGGTGATGTGCCCATCGAATTATTAAAATTCACGTCAAAACTCAAATAATGACGGATAACAACAATGATTTACTGAACGTTATGTTACGACTTAGTACATGCTGTCATGAATACGGACTAAGGATGAATTAAAAAAACAACTAAATACATGATCATGACTAAATTAGCAGATGCAAACATCCAATTGACTATTAAGGATACTGTAATTGAGAGTGTGGATACCTAAAAATACTTAGGAACTAAACAACATAAAATGTAGAACAAATCAAAGAAATTAAGACAAGTATTAAAACAGCACGTTCATCATTCGCTAAAGTTCCTTTGTTGTCGGGTTATAAGATAAGAACTACGCCTAAGAATGCTTCGGTGTTACGTATTCACTATCCTTTTTATGGATTGGAAGTATGGACATTAAAACATGCGCATCTGAATAAATTGGCCGCCTTTAAATTTTGGTTTTACAGAAGAATTCTACAAATATCATGGATTCAAAGAATGTCAAACGCAGAAGTTACTAGGAGAATAGGAAATAAAGCTAAAATAATATTGACTATCACAAGAAGAAAACTTGAGTACTTAGACCATGTTATGAAAGGGGAAAGATACTCATCATTGCAGCTTATTATGCATGGCAAAATTCAAGGAAAGGTAAATGTGAGAAGACGAAGAATATCGTCGATAAAGAACTTAAGGGAATGGTTTGAATGAAGTAGCGCAGAACTATTTAGAGCTGCAGTTAACAGCGTCCGCATAGCCATGATAATTTCCAACCTTCGATAGAAGATGAAACTTAAAGAATAAGATTGGGACTGTGCCTACAGACCAGCCAGTGATACATAATAAACTGTCAAGATAAACAACAGTAAATAATGTGGGGATATATCAACATTAATAATCTGCATGCTAAAACCATTAAGAACTTAGCGTGTACAGCAATCTTGTGATACAAAGAAAGAGAAAATGGAGAATGGAAAGGCGACCCCTATTATCCTCTCGAAAAGTTCAATTCGTTTGATGCTGTAGGTATCTGCGATAAGTGAATTTTACTCTTAGCGGAACTGAAAGCCGTATGATTTTAATCTGGATATACTTAATACAAATCAGGAGATAATGGAAAATGAAAAGTACACAGAATAAAAAGTACTATTATATTTTCTACTACTAATGTCATTCCGAAGAACCCTCTAGAAAATACCAAACATTTTAGTTTTAGTGAAGGAATCTCGAAAATAGTCCCTCCAGATGATAATCCTTTTGAGACCATTGATATCGTCTTAACTAATGTACCAAGAATCAAAACTGTAGGACTTTTTTTCAATAGTTACCTATCTCTCTATTTTTCAATTTACCAAAAATATTGCATTTTTTAAATCATCCCTAAAACAGATAAAGTATCTTAATTTGTTCAATTTTGCTTAATTTTACTTTGTGTTATATATACGAAAGGATAGAAAACCATATATTCTCGTAATAAAAATAGGTTAACTTTTATGACATTCCGTCGTTGGGGTAAAAATTTAGATATTGAAAATCTAGAATTAAGCAGCTGATTTATGTACTGTAAATCAACTATGCGATATTGTACTAATCAGGTTTGATAATAATTGTAATAAAATTATTTGTATATTAAAAATATAATTTTTTCGTTGATATATATTGTATGATGAGTGAAAAGTATTTAAAAAATAATTGGGAGCAATTCTAAATTGTTTTTCAAATTGTAGATTTAAACTACCTTCTAAAATATTCGTGCCTGGATTATTGTTTCAACCCTGAAAGGATTTCAGGGCCCTTTAAAGCAGTACAAAATTACAAAGTTAATAATTATAATACGAAAAATCATAAAAAATATAAAAACTCACCTCAGGTTTGGAAATGTGTTGCATATTAGAAATAATATACTATTTAATTAAGTAAATCAATTATAAAATCATTAAAATAATATATGTAAAAATGACAAGAAAAAATCGTTGACGTTTATGTCGCGAATGATTAAGGTAATTTCACCTTTCAAAAAGAGTGTTTGTTCATTAGCAACGGCATTGCCGGTAACACTGTTTCTGTAGGACCGGTTTAGCTAAAATGTAGAGTTTTTATTTTTATATTCTCTCCTTTCACAAATAAAAGGAGAGAATATAAATAAAAAATCAAACCGCGGATTTGTGGTTAACGTATGTCAAAAATTTATATTACTCGTACAAGTATATCAGAATCGTATGTAAATTGGAGTACTTTAAACAGTAAGCAGTGAACACGTTTGGGAGTGAAACAATATTTCTCAAGTTTATAATTAGGAACTATATTCATTTCTTGTTTATAAAGCAAGGGAAAATGTAGTTTTTTAACTCATATAATTTAGAAGAGCCAGGAATAAGAAAAGCGACGTACAATATGACCAACGTTTTGCTGAGTAGACGATATTAGGAAGGTGGCATTAAAATATCTATTTAATTTAGATCTAGGACGAAAACATAACTAGGTGTGGTATTTTTTTTTTGTGTGTGTTTTGGCTTGGACAATTGTCATTCAGCCAGTCTCAATCAAGATAAGTTTATTAATGTAGTGTGTGTGTGTGTTTGTGTGTGTAGAGTAATTGTCTTGGTACTTAGCAAAGTCGACGTCATTGTCTTTGCTAAGAGACGCTAATTGTATCTGAACGTCTGCGGTCCTCCGGTGAGTATTGATCACACAAGGATAGAAATTATTTTCATTTATTAATTTTTTTTAATAAACGAAAATTTTCACCCAGGTGAGATTCGAACTCACGACCTTTAGGTTTTAAAGGCAGGCGCTCTTACCACTGAGCCACAGAGGGGGTTAGGTTTGTTATTAAATATTACTAAAATTTCAATAAATCACAACAAAAATTTATATTATAACCTTCAAAGCAAGTCTCAATAGATAATATAATTTTTCGTTTACTCAATAATATTCCATATGTTTAGTTTTTTAACAAGTGTTTATTTTGAAGAATTCCAGTGAAAATGTATAATATCTATATTTTTGATTTCAGGCTAATCATATAGATCATTTCGAAATTTCTCACAAAGATTGTTAATTGGAGCTCTTGGAGCGGATCTGATTATTATATAACGTGAGTAGAGTTCTACCGTCCACTGCATTTCATGCAAGAAAGATATTTCAAAAGGTTTAAAAGAGGTTTATTTCAAAGAATGAACCTAAAAGTTGCAAGTTACACACTTTTGTGGTAATGAAGTATACTGCTTTGTAAAAAATATTAATATATTACTTTGAATTTAAGATTTGTTTTACTTTATATATTTTCTTGACATAGAGTTAAGAGTCTAGTCGATAGAGAATATAAGGACGAATTTGTTGAGCAATATTTTTTTGTTGTTTTTTAAGATTGTAATAAACTTCTCATGTCCAATTATTTATCTGTTTTGCTTTTTAAATCTATTTTTTATAAATATTTTCTAAAAATATTATACGTCAAAAGTCAAGTCAATCTCTCAATTTGTTCCCTCAAAATTTAGAATAATAATTCCAATAAAAGAGCTTACCAAAAAATGTTTACTTACATAATATTTTATGTTGATCACGTGATAAGTAAAAATATTTAAGTGAAAATATTAACCAACGTCCTGAGCTAACCCTGTTCCGTAGCAACCCTTTTATTTGTTTGCAGTGAAACTCACACACCTGCTATCTATTGCCAAGCAACCATGTGTATCAATTGAAACTTTCCTACAATAAAAGATACCTATATATTATTATATGCATAAAACAAAGAAAACATATATGATTTGTAGAAAATAAAATTTGTTAAAACAAAATAAATATTGACAATAATCTAGTCTCCAATTTTTGGTTCATCGCACAGAAACGTACACTTTTTAGTAGCTTAGTGCTTTAAGATATTTTTTATATTAGTTTTTATTTATAAATTTTTAAAATTTGATAATAAATTTTAGGACAATCAATCTTATTTAAGATGAAACATTTAGGATATGCAAGACGACATCTTATGTTAGTTGAGCCAAAAAAAGTTCCCCTAAACAGTATTATACTGCCACCTATATCTCCGTCTTATCCAGAGGATATTCAACAAACAACAGGAAAAAATATGGTAAGTAGATTTATGTTTTTATAGTAAACTGATATTACGCAAACTAAATGGTACTTTTATCTTTATTTCCACTTAATAATTAATTACTCATTTATAACGCCGTGCGTGCTTATTGGGCATCTTTTATACTTATATTTTCCCCACCTAGTTTTTCCCAGCAGTCTCCATAAGTAAGTCTTTTTGCTGTTTTGCCTCTATTGTATCTGTAAGCGATATCTCTACATTTATTATTTCTTTGATTCTGTTTGTTCTTATAATATGATCGTGTAACGTAGATCCATAGCATATTCGACAAAAACTATTTTTTATTTAACTTCTTAATTTTTGCATATTCTTGTTTATTGTCCAGACCTCCTAGACGTAAGTTACTGTACTCTCCACCAATATAGTAATTAGGTATCTTTTTGTCTTTTTTGTAATTTTTATCCCATAACAATGAATTTAACTGCTTTATTATAGTGTACTACTTGCTGATTTTCTGTAGCTCTCTAGTAAATATTGTCGTGAATAGTTTGGAGAGACGGCACTTCTTGCCGTACTCCTCGCTATATACAGACTTAATTTGTTTCGTGTTCAGATAGTGTTACTCTAGCCATATTGGTAGATATGTTAAATTATGTTAGTTTAGCGATGGTCCATTTGACAGTCTGTTAATACTTTTAGGATTTTCTGCTTTAGTAGAAGCATTTTAGTATTTAGTATCAAATGCTTTATCTTAGTCCACAAATATCGTATCGTATCGTAGACCAACAGAGTTGCTCTGTGTCGTTTCAATTGACAAGTACCACGTGTTAATAATCGAGCAGGGAGACATGTAGTCCCTAAAGTAATTTTTAAAAAATCTATCCGTTGTCATCGACCTAGGGTCAAAACATTATTAAATGTCAACCATAATGGATACTCTAATAGAAGGTATGACTAAAAATGCTGATATTAAACAATATTTGAGAAACTCTTGCATTAGCTTACTTCAACAACAACAATGTAACTACAAACGCAATTTTCATAGACATCACCATAATTTTAAAAAACAAAAGGATTTGCTAAAATCAATTAAACATAAAATTGATAGAGATTCTCTTGTACTCAGCAAGGCTGATAAGGGTAATTGTGTTGTAATCTTAGAACAAATTCAATACATTGAGAAAGTAGAATCTTTTCTTTCAGATAACAGTTTTGTAGTTTTGGAAAAAAATCCACTTAACACCCTTATTAATAAAACAAAAGCAATGGTTAAACTTGTTTAATGGCACTATTACTAAATATAACAACAGAAAGTAAACTGTATCTAATCCTATAACACCTAGGTTATATGGACTACCTAAAATCCATGAACACAATTGTCCCATAAGGCCTGTAGTAAGTTTTTGTAACACTCCAGTTTCTATTTTATTAGAGTTTATTTACAACACAATACAGTCTATCACTAATTTTAAACCTAAGTTCTCTATTAAAAAATTCTTTAGATCTAATAGAACGTTTAAATAACATTAGGATAGAAGAGGGTTTTTATTTAGTTTCTTTTGATGTTTCCAATTTGTTTACTTCTGTACCAAGAGATGAAACATTACCTTTAGTACACAACCTTCTAGACAATTGCAACATATCTGCAAAGGATAAAGATGCTATATTAACTATGCTTAAATTCTGTCTGGATCAGGACTTCTTCCAATTCAATCAAAAAATATATAAACAACCAACAGGTTTAGCAATGGGATCTCCATTATCACCTTTTCTAGCTGATATTTTCTTAGATAGCTTAGAACAGAAGTTTGTTAATAACAACAACAAAATAGTTTTTTGGTCAAGATATGTGGATGATTGTATAGCTCTCATACAGGGAACCCAAGATGATGCTTTACAGATTCTGGATGATCTTAATAACCTCCATCCTAACATCTCTTTTACTCTGGAACCAGAATCTGACAATAAGTTGAACTTCTTGGATATGACTATTTCCCGTAATAAAGATTCTTTAGAGTACAACATTTATAGAAAACCCACCCAAACAGATCACGTTATACATGGAACGTCTAATCACCCAACTCAACATAAAATGGCTGCTTTCAACAGTTACATTCATCGGTTACTTAAATTTCCTCTTTCTGATGATAATTTTAATACAGAACTTAATACTCTTAAGCAGATTGCTTTCAATAATGGCTATGATCCCAACATTATATACAAACTTCTAAATAGAGCTAAACTAAAAATTGCAGAAAAGCTTGCATATTCTTCACAGTTTTTTCAACCGAATGCTTCAGATAACATCAGATATTTCTCCTTCACTTATATTAGTAGCATTTCCAATAAAATATCTAAACTTTTTACTTCTACAATTGATAACATCAAAATTTCCTTAAATCACATAACACTTTAGGTTCCTTCTTAATCAATACCAAAGATAGGATGAATACACTTGATAAAAGTGGTATTTACAAATTAAAATGTGATGATTGTGATGCCTCTTATGTAGGTAGAACCATCAGAAAGTTATCCACTAGAGTCTCTGAACATTTGAAAAGACCAAATTCTTCAAGTTTTGGTCAACACTTAGTATCCAGCAACCACAATTTTAACATCAATTCTGGTTCATCTATCTTACATGACATTAGCAGAAAGAAAAACTATCTTGAGTTGGATTTATTGGAAGATTTGGAGATTACAAGGGAAACAAATGAAAACTCTCACTGTCTTAATACTCAAATTAATTTAAATTGTACTAAATTTAATCCTATATTTAAAAACTTTATTACAGCTTCACCTCGTAGAGGACCCAGCTCGACTGTTTAGACTTCATGCACTGAGCATTTCAATATTAATTTTAAAGTTCTTCCATTGACTGTGGATTCAACTGAACTACTTGGATTATAACCCAT